CGGCTAAAAGGTCAATATAATAAAAAATAATAAATATATATAAATGTATAATGTTATGAGATTTAAGGTATTTAGTCTAAACATTTGTATTTTGTGTTATAATATATTGTCATTTTAGAACAAAAGAGGTGTAATTTATATTTACTTCCTAATTTGTTATGGTGGTTACAAGTTTGGTCAAATCTACTGAACCTGTACAGAGCTTCATTGCTGAAAATAACAGATAAAATATAAATGTTTTTCTTAAAAAATGTTTGATAATTTGATAACTATCTGGATATTATAAAGATTTTGCATGTGAAACTTTTAGACTTATTGAAAAAATTTAATATTTTGCATATGAAAGCATTGTAATGTTTACTGATAATCTGCCAAATTTCATTAACATATGCTTACTAATTTAAAAGTTATAGCCTGAAAACTATAACAAACACAAAATGGTTATGAGGTCAATCCCAGTGACCGAGCTCATGCTGAAAGAGTTAAGGAATTAGCAACAATAATCTAAGATGTGTAATAATGTCTTTTTAAACATGTGTTATCACAGATATTATAAGTTTGCTATATGGAAAATGTATTTCAAATGTATCATCAAAGGCGTAGAGGAGAAGGGTGGGCCTGACTGAAATGGGTGTTGAAAAAGAAAAACCCAAACAAACAAGATATTGGATAGGTTAGAGTAAGGACTTCTTGTACTTGATTAACAAGCCCACTATAGCTACCTTTCAGAGCAGCTGATAAAGGGAACAGATAGTCATTTGTTCAGAAAGAGCTAATAGTAGCCAAGTGCCCAAATAAAGAGAAAAGCACAACCAAAGAGCATGTAAGTGATGGACAAATGCTCTGACTGCCAAACAAACATACAGGGCTGAAGCAAGTCTGCATGAAATAGGTAAGCCACTCCATGCAGAACAAACTGAACAGAGGGTTGTGAGTGACAAGATATCGGAATATGCAAATAAGCATTCACGACATTCCTCATAGTCATCTATAAACTTGGAGAAAAAGCCCACCTAAGGATGAAAAACAACTCCAATGTAAAACAGGGGAGACTGAAAATGAGATTGAGGTGGGACAAACCTAGGACAGACCACCAGTCTCCGGTTTCTTGTGAGGACAACAAACAGCCTGGAGAAAGACGATGAACAGGTGCAATGGCTTGTTGAGACAGATGCCGGCTGATGGAAGGATCCCAAGTCATGGGGAAGGAAAAGGATACCTGAGACAAAGGAGGTGGGGAAAGAAATAATAGGACAAATTTTTTTGATAAAACCCAAAGAACCCATGGATCTGTTGTTAAAGATGAAAAAGTGTAACAAAATAATACAGTCAAGCTCCCACTGGACCAGAACCCACTGGTTAGTCTCCAGTACTTTTGGAAACATGCCCATTGACATTGAATAAAAAAATGAGACGAGAAACACTTGGAAGGAGAAACAGGGAGGGGTAGATAAGGACCAGAATGGGAAAGGAATAGGGCTTGTTGTGGCTGCAACTGTGACAAATGTTCAACTAAAGAGGAAAGGGTAGAGTATTGATGCACAGATTAAACATAATTCCAAAATCTCAGATACATGATCGAAATATATCACCAAAGAAAAAAGGGCCATACATAAATCCCTAAAAGAAAGAGGTGGCAAAAGAACCTGAAGCAAGGTTGTATCGTGACCCAGAAGATCCCTCTCACAAAAAAGAAATAAATTAGATAATTTGAAATACAATTTGTGGCAACCTTGTTCAGTTGTAACATCTTCAAGTCACTTCTTTCTCTGGTTAGTCCATTGTTGCATTATTTAATGACAGCTGAGGTGTTTGGTATTTCTTGCAACTTTGAAGTTGTTCTTTATATACCAGAAACTATCTTGTTCATGAAATGTCATGTAAGGTACAATAGGGTTTGAAGCTGAATAAAAGTGTTATTATAATAAAAACATACCATTTACCTCTTTTTCATTATTGGATGTCTTTACAAAGACTTAAAACTTTTAGTGCTGTATTTAATTGCCATAATGCATTAAAATGATGAATGTCAAAAAGATGCTAAGCAATATTTCCTAATTGCTAATCAAATTCAATATTGATTAACAGTTTCTGTCAATCAAATCCACCAAACTATTTTGTCCCCTGTACTGGGAAATTCTTGGAGGTGTAGATGAGCAATAGCTAATGAATAGTTGAAAAGGCTGGCCAAGTTATGAAATCAGTCTATTCAGTGGGTACCCAGGTAGAATAAAAAAGGACAGAGCACACCCAAGGATGGGCTCTACAACTTGACACAGTACTATGGGAATACTAAATATATAACAAAAATAAAGCAGTAAGGTGTTACACATTCGAGTTATGAGACATCATATGGAGAACAGTCATCTTGTCTCAGATGTCTTAAATGCTATGATAGGACATGGAAATGAAAAAGGTACCCACCAAAGCATCACCTGATGGTGTCCTCTCTCCACTTCCCCAAGGCATCACCCTGCTGAATGAAAGTTACCCAGTGTAAAACCTTGAAGCTAAATGTATTTCATTACAGAGTACTAGCAGACAAAATGGTATAATAATCGCAATGCAGATGGTTGATTAAGTAATTAGTACATTGATGTACTAAGCATAACTGGTACAAGACTGGTGATTCTAGACAATAAGTACCTAGTTCAGAGAAACTTTGTTGAAGATAGACAAAAGCAAAAGTTTTAGCATAGAGCCAAGTAACAGACACCACAGTGTAGAAACTACATAGTGACTGTCTTTGACCACAGATCCAAAAAAATGGATAGGTCACAGACCAAGTAGACTTCTGATAATATGAATTACAAGTACTTAGTGAATTAACCGATCACTACCGGCTACTAACTTTCTGCATAGTCAATGCAAGTCTTGTTATATTTCATTCCAACAATAAAACTAGTAAATGAAATTGTTTGAAACTTCACAAGAACTTTCATAAATGCATGTAGTTTAAGAAATATAAAGCCTGTTATTTTTTATATATTTAGTTCTTTTGCATTATCATCTTTAATATCTTGGAAAATTACATTAGGAAATGGTATTTATCAGATACGATTATGATATTTATATTTGTTCCAGAATTAAACTTCTTACTTTTTATGTTTTAGTACATTATTTTAAAATCTGTAAAAACTTTTTATTGTCCATAAAATACAAATTTTGATTAATTTTAATTTTTTAATAACCACATACTCTCCTTATGGTTTCAAGTAATATATGACCAAAAATATTTTTGAACAATAAACAAATATTTTTTTTTATTTTTAAATAAATTTCACGTTTATATATGTACGTAGAAAACATTTTAATTTTGTTTCATAAATGTGTATATTTCAAGTTTATGTTCCATTGCAGCCATACTTTTGTTTATTGTGCCAAAAAAAAAACGTGAGGTTAGCAGCATGAACTTCATACATTTGCCGTAAACTATCACGCCTGTTGGTGGTCACTCTCGTTCAGTCAAGTGCAGGCACATTGGAACATTACTGTTCATTACATAAAGAAAATTTTTTGATACTTGAATATCATTTCTTTAAACTTTCAAACAAGTTTATTCTAACACATGTCCTTGTATGTTCTTTCATTATACAAACAAAACTTTAATTGCCTGACCCTAATCACATGATATATCCTGTTACAAGAGATTACTAAATGATACAGACACCATAAATTACAAAGAAAAGCACTTAAAAGATTAGTCCAGATGACATTCCTCTCGTTATAGGCAAGATCCGTATTGGAATTTGAAACTGAAGCTCTTCAGTGTGTTGACACCCCAACTGTGAAAATGTTAAGGCCTTCCCTCTATTATTGTGTTTAGTCTGTTTCACAACCAACACATGGGTTTTTATTGTTATCACTTGTACAGTGAGTTTTAAGCCATTTGCAAAATATCAGAATAAAATATCACTTACACTGTTTTAGTTATAAAACAACAACAACAGAAGTGTGGGTCTTACTACAAAGTAAAGATAGTAAAATGGAAGGAAGAAGGGGAAAATATAAAATTCTTATGTCGTACTGGTACTAGTAGTAGTATGTACAAATCGCACAAAGTTATTCTAAATACTGAATCATGCAAAGACCATGCACTCGCCACTCAATTGATAACCCTAACATTCGTGGATTTACTTCTTTTCTAAATATATATCTATTTTGAGTTAAATTTCAATATAATGATTAATACAAATAGATATACAATATAGCATAACTCAAGCTACTATAGAAAAACAATAAAAGTCACATACATCCTATACAGTTTTTTTCCAGAAGCACGTTTTCTAAGGCTTATAAAAAAGTACTATTGACTACTACTAAATACCACCTCTTCATAAAATGACAGTTACTATAATAAGGACCACACACATTCATATTGTAAAATACAGAGAACAAAGTTTCGTCACGTGCTTTGCTTATCATCCTATGATTTGTGAAACGTGAAATACAGCGATTGGAATAACGGTACTGAAATTGACACTTTCAACTAGAAAATAGACTAAAAAAAGGTTTACATACTAATCATAGATGGCAGAACCAGTACTAAAGTGCAAGGAAAAAATGTTTCTTTAGAGGTCGCTTATTTATAGTCTCAAACATATTTTGGAATTTTTTTATTAAATTTCTTTTCAAACTTCATCAAATAATACAATTTATTACAAATAATTGAATGCTATGCTATATTTACAAAAATAAAATCTGAAAACTCTTAAGATAAGTTCTCTATAATTTTGCAATTCAAAAATGTAATTTTGCCCTCACGATAAGACTCAATGGCCCTAATAGGTAATGGTTCAAGCAGCATTTTACAGACTATTGCTGTTGGTACCAGTGTATTAACCCAATCACTACCAGCTAATATCTTTCTGCATAGCCAATGCAAGTCTTGCTATATTTTGTTCCAACAATAAAACTAATGGATGATATTGTTTAAAACTTCACAAGAACTTTCATAAATGCATGTTGTTTAAAAAACATAAACATATATTTATCTTTTTGCATTATCATTGTTGTTAAATTACACAAAACATTGTGTTTTCTCATGTACTTTACCGGTGTTAGTTTTTGTTTGTCTCTTTTGCTTGCTTAATAACAATTGAAGTGAAAGTTGTGTAGATGCACTAAGTTTGTTTCATTGTTAACTCAGACTGACAACTTTCATACACATAAACATCCAAATCTATTATCAGAAACAAAAGTAAAGATGACTTTCCATCATACTGTTTTTTGAAAAAAAAACTTCCTTATTATAGCTTAAGTGCAATAATAAAATTATAGCTAACACAGAAACAAAATTTTCAAGACAAATATATTTTAAAACAGATTTAGGAAAAACTATAGTAGTGATCATTAAGTACTGAATAAGCTTATACATACCTTTTCTGGTTGTTGTGTACATAGGTTGTTATCCAATCCTTATAGAAACTTTCTGAGCAGTGCAAATGTTGTTCACTTTTGTAACAAGATAATGAGCAATAAGAAGCATTACACCTTGGACATGTGTACAGAGATACCTCCTTGCAGCTATATTTTTGAAAAAACAAAATAAGCATTTCTATATATACATATAGATATATAGAATCACTGTGCGAGTAAAAGATATTTCAAACATTCATAAAATGACTAAAATATTTTAGATCTTAGCCAAGTTGTTATTAGTTCCAGACTCTAGGATACAGATTGGGTAGGACTTGCTAATTTTTGTAGCTGTGAAGAATATCAGCAAATATACATTGTTAAAGTGTCAAAACCATCACAAACTGTTTGCATGCACATATATGTTACCCAATAATCCAATAGCATGCACAATCTTATATATATATATATATATATATATATATATATATG